TAGGAGAATACCGTTTCGATTCTTCTCTTCAGTCCCCTGTATAGGCTTGTTGACAAGGATCATGCTCTGATCGTATAAAAAATACATACTTCAAGCTGAAATTCTATGGTCATCCCTATGAATCCTGAATACTTCAGAAGTATTAGGTGTTTTAACTGAAATCAACCTGTACCATTTCAGTGAATCCAATAACTTGAAGCAGGACTGAATGTGACTAATAAATTGCACATGAAGTAATACCTCACAATCTAAGACTCCTACAAAGTTTATGCTTTCTGAGGCTATTCTGCATTCACATGTTTTTTAGTCTCACTTTTAGATTATAAGATTTTGGATGTAATAAGCATTTGCTGTATTTGTACAATACCCACTAACTTCAGGGCATGACTGGAACATCAGTGTGCTACAGAAACATGCAAAAAATGGGCTAATAATAGAGATGCTTCTTAATGAGGGAGCTGATAGGCTTTTTTGAACTGTAGACTAGATTTAAGTTCAGTCTGAGGTTTCTAACAAAGTATGCAGTGAATTGCAAACTGAGAAAATCCATTGCTAAGATTGAAATAACAGATTCTTACCTTTAAAGTAAAGACAGTTAAGAATCATCATCAGTGTTGTAGGGTTTACATTCACAAGAGCTTCCTTTATTAATCCTTTGGTCAGCTTTGAGATGCGTTCATTGGTTTTAGTTATGAAGTCAGGATCCGAAAAATCAGCTGGTTGCGCATCAGCAAAGTAGTATGTTTTCATATTGTTTCTGAAATCATTCAGAATAGAAAAGTCCTTCTGAATATAAAGGTCATTGACAGACCTCAGTGTGTAACCAAAATTGCGCCTGAATAACCGATGAGTGAGTTTGCGGAAGAGATTATGAACAGTCATGAGCTCATATTTGGTGCTGGCGTTAATGAAGTCTTGAAAGCCAAGAACAGATAACACTTCCTGATGAGTCTGACCCTTCAAACCCAGAGAAATCATAGCCATTGCAGTAGAAATGCCAACAGGAGCCATGAGAATATTATCTGAAGAGTTGGCTTTGTCTGCCACACTGCGGTAAAGGTTGAAGCCAAAGTTTGCATTGAGGATATTGAGGCGCTGGATTCTGGTTTTGCCTTGGAATAGTTCAAGAATATTTCCCTGCCGAATTTCAGAAACTATGTATGGGGCAGCATCAATAATGTCACTGTAGTCATCTTCACCCAGTATCTTGTCAAGATCTAGATAGTCTTCTTCCTCCTCCTCTTCAGGAATCAAGTCATTAGTGATAGTATTTTCTCTGTGGAACTCGGGTGGTAAGTTTGGCATATCATAGGTCCCATTTTCATGTGGCTGTGCATCTTTAACGTTTTCAAAGTGCTCAGTGAAGTCCTTGACTCCACAAAATGTGGAGGTTATGATGAGAGCAAAGGCAAGCAAATGAAATAGGAACTTCATTCTGACAGGTCAAAACCTGGAAGACAACATAACACAGTTGAAAGAGCATAGGGTAATTGAATTTTAGTTATCTATTCCCTAATTTTAGGTCCATGCTGAATTCTGTCACAGCAGAAGGTCCATAGTTACCTTATTTGACAGCATTTTTTTTTTTAGTGGAACAGAGCTTAATTAGATGGATAAATCTGTCCTACTGGTAATCTTGCTTACATAATGCCTCCAGCCTGCCAAAAAATTGGTTGACCTCCTCCCATAGAAGTTGTCATTATTGGCATGTTTTAGCAGTAACAAATTCATTACCTAAAATATGTGGGATTCTTTATTTATAAACCTGTAACACTTAAAATGGGCACTAACTGTTACTAGTGTATGCTAAAAATATGATGTGAAGGTAAGTTTGAAGATTGGAGCTTGGTAGGAGGGAGGGACTAGGCATCCACTACAGGAGCATACCAGAAGGATGAGATGAACTGAAGAATATGAAAAACAGACATCCTGTAGCTACAACAAAAATGGGAGTTTTATGAGAGTGTTTTTGGAAGAACGAGGCTGGAATTTGACGGAATAAAGGAGATCTAGGGATGTAGCAAGAAACCTGTAGAAAGGAGTGTATTACACTAAGTACTGTTAAGTGGGACTGCGCTGTGGGAAACATTAGGCATAAACATACGTCCTGGCCTGCTCATGGTCTTACTCAGGTGTGTTACGACATGTCTGTGCACACGTTTTGCAGCTGTGTGTCCTCGTCTGCTGCTTCTGTGAAGGATTGGCCTGATTCTGCTTTTTATTTAGTTACGTTTCGTATTGGTTTACTTTTGTGTAGCACTGCACAACATGTGCTCTCCATTTTCTTCATCATGTGAAGTCTCTGTAAGTTCCTATACGGAACTTTGTTTCCCTAGTGTTAGTGTTACCCCGATGCTGGATTTCTAACCTCACTTCTTTTGTGCGAGGATATATTTAAGTAGAACCTGCATTTTTATAAAGGGGAACTTAATCTCTTCTTCATCTACTGAGTATTGGACCGTTGCATTTTTTAAATTATTTTTAAAATCAAGAACTATCTTAGATATGTATTATTTGAAGAGAATCCATCAGCCTTACTCAGCTGTCAAACACTGTACCAAGAAGTGGGTCTGAGAGACTTTTCACCATAATACTGGGTTGCAATAATTACAGCAATTTTAAAAAGATATGAAAAAGTGTAATTCCTTCCTGTGACAGTCAAAGAAAGACCAAAATATAAGTGTTCAATAACTCTGTATGAACTGAAACTGTGAAAGGGGTGTTTGAATGCCAGGGTCTTGGATTTTGCTCAGACTTCTTTAGAAAGTTACTTGGTGACTTTTTAAAGTTAATTTCTATTGATAGTACTTTTTTGAGTAAAATGGCAAATACTTGCAATATAATCTAGGACAAAACACTGAATACAGTTAAAACAAAAATCTTACTAATATGTTGATTTAAACGTTTTTTTAAGTTAGAAAATAGTCTAAAGAACTGTTCTGTAGAAGTAAAATACATAGGTATACATACCTGCACATCTGTGAATAAAACCAGTGCTTGAAGGAAAATATTTTCAAACATGTTGTAGCAGGACTGAAGTAACTGAACTAACAGTTTAATTTTCAAAACTCTCCCCCCAAACTAATTAGCTTGAAATCCTAAAACCATTTAAGGTGATTATCCCATATAAAAAATGAATTGTTTTGCAACAGTGAAGGATCCATATAAAGTGCTTTTTAAATGATTTTACACTGTGACTGAAGGACTAGACTCAGTCTTTTTTTTTATTGTTTCTTCATAAATTCATCACCTTTTTTCCCCGCCCCCAGAAGTCAGGCCCTTACAGCTGAGATACTCTGTCCAGTAACCATTGATGAATGTTTTCTGCTTTTGGCAGAGAAGAATTTGCTGTCTCTAGTTCCCAACTTTACATTCTCGTCTTCACCAAAGTTCAGTTATTGCTTAGCTGCACTTACACAGGCAAAACATTCCCCCACTCTGCAATACATACGTCTTTGGTCAGATCTACCTAAAATACAGAAGATGTAAATGAAGCTTACCTTTAAGCCACTGTACAGAAGGGATGTGTTGAATAGCTCAAGTAAGGGGAATGGCAGGGTTTAAATCTGAACTTTGACGCTAGTTTTTTGTGTATCTCCCAAAGTAAACATTCTCTAAACCAAACACTGCTAAACTTACTTCGTCAGCCAAAATCCCTCCCTTGCTTAGTGATCTTTGCTGAATTGTATGTTATTTGTTGAACTACTTTTATGGCTTTGCAGGTACTTGTTCACTTTTGAGGAAGATCTTTGAGCAAAAATTGGTGTGTATGTAAAGTTTCAAAGTCAAGCATGCACATAAACTTGACTGTTAATGACTAGTAAAAGCCATGTTGCTGCTATTTTGTGCCAAATTGGGGGGGGGCATCTTACTGCAGATGTGGTTGAGGCCTCTGTGGTTGTGATGGTCAGGCTTCTTCAGTCAGTGTTCTGTTGGTGCAAACATTTGTGTCGCACAAGCAGCTTTTTACCATAGTGCCATTCACCAGCTTGAACTCAGATTAATTTTACTATAATACAGGGATTTTTTAATGTGGGGTTTTTTTTAATGAACAATCTGCCTCACGATTTTAAAATATATACAAAGTTGGCTTTATATGAGGTTTCACTGAAATACTGCTGGCTTTTATATCTCAAGGGAATTATTGTACAGTTAGAGAAAATTCCTTCAAGCTAGATTAGAATCTTAACATTTTCTTAATACAGTTTACAGTAATAATATACAGTCATATTCAATAAAGCTCACAATTTACTGGGCCATTTCTTTCACTTTTTAAACACTGCCTGTGCTTCTGACACTTTAAGGATAACACACTATGAGCTTTGTTACATAAATTTATCTAACATTGCGTATCATGTTGGCTGGGAGTATAAACTGTGCTGCTCCAGTGGTAGCAGCTGTTTGTGCAGAAAGTATCAGAGAATTTTAATAAATGTGTTGAAAATAATGCTCTTTTACTTGCTTGTTTAGATAGTAAATTCTCCAGAACTGATGTCATTGTGTGCGTGGGTGCAAACAATGAAAGATCCCCAATTGGTGCCTCAATGTATTTCCACAAAGCTAATAAACAATAGCAACCAGAAGTATGTTTTGACTAATATTTATTTGGTTTTGAGTTCCTTTGCACTGAAGCAAAGCTGCATGGCATTGTCTTCAACACAGTTTAAAGGACCATGTGGTCTCTTCCTCTCTGCAGTTGATAGTATACTAATATTATGTATTCTCTTCAGAGGTTACTGTATCAGCATGGTATTACTCCTGTGTAAAACAAAGGAAATTGTTACTTCAGACATCTCAAATGTTAGCATTTAAGATATTCTAACCAAGATCTAATTTTCTTCAGTATAACAATATCTATGTAATACTAGTTTTCATAGATGACAAAGAATATTACCTTTGTAAATCATAGTAAAGAAGGTACATGAATTGATCCCACACCATGGAATTAAGTTATTGTAACTCCCATCATTTTCTGATGTTAATTTTTATTTCTTTGGTAGCTCACTAGACGCTTGCCACCCATCAAGGAGGCCAAGCCCAGGTTGCAAAAGCTGTTCCGTGACTTCTGGTTGTATTCAGTGCTGATGGGATTTGCTGTGGAAGGATCAGGTAGCGTAAATTCTAAGACAGCAACATTGCTGCTTGCATATAAACTCTTGATGAATGTAAGTGTAACTGTATGTAAACCACTCACAGTAGGCTGAAGAAAATTTACAGGCATAAAGGCACTACAAAGCAAACAGCTTTACATGACAGTTCTCTGGTAGGATTTCTTTACATCTGTGCTCTGTTTTGCTATGAGATTTAGCGTAGTAAAATTTGTTCTTGTACTTAGGGTATTTTACTAAGCTAATAAAGCAGTTAGCCTTAGTTGAGCTTTGATAGCTAAGTTCCTAAAATGGAAGATCAGACACATGGGGTACAATGGTAATCAAGTAGAAACTTCTAATCCAGTGAGGAACTTCACTTGGAATTAGTGAAACATGTTTATTGTGTTTAGAACATGGATCACTTGTGTTGAGTGTTTGTGCTTAAGTGCATGAAAAATTGGCCCTGGGAAGTAGTACAAAGCTTGGTAATGCTAGTTAACTTTGTGAATCTTAATACCATTTTTGTCCCTCACCCCACTTTCCTCTTTATACTCGTGCTTCAGGTCTCTGGCCAGAAGAATGGTATGAAGGTGTATGTGAAATTGCCACCAAGTCTCCATTGCTCACGTTTCCCAGCAAAGAGCCACTTCGATCTGTTCTTCAGTACAATTCTGCCATGAAGAATGATACTGTGACTTCTGTAAGAATTAATTTCTTCCATTATCTCCTTCCATAATGTCCATCAGAGTTAAATGATACAGTAAGCATGATGTATTGAAATAGCACAATACCCATTCAGCCTGCTTCTTATTAGTGAAAAACATCTTTTTGACAGTACTCTTACGACAGCAGTGTATGGAAATGACTTGGGTTTACTTTTATTGAGTGTTAATACAAGTATTTAGGGTGGTAGCTACACTATTTTGATTAGGTGTAGAAACCAAGTCTTTGTGGAGATGGAAGCCTTTTAATAATTTTTCATCCGTTTTGTATCAGACAGGCAAAAATTGCACTGTTTAAAAAAAAAAAACACAACGAACTTTGGAAGGAAAGAAAGTATTTCAAAGAAATGTTAAATGAGCTTTTTTCCTTTTTATCCTCTGGCTTGGTACTGGTATACTTCTCTCTCCCTAGTGTTTGCAGGACAGGTTTTACCTGAGGACTACTGGTGGTAGCAGTGTAAAGTGGATTGAAGAGTTGCACCTTATGAAATGTCTTTGGGTCCCAAATAATACAGAAATCTGCATTGTGCCTTGATACTTAGTTCTGTGACATCAAAGAATGGCACAACAGACTCTTGAAGTTTCATAAGCTGGACAAGGTTGATGTTGATCAAAACTATATGCATTTAGTGTAGGAATTGTATTTCTTCATTGGTATAACTGCATGGAAACTAGCAGTTATTCCAGCAGGGAGCTTGACTCCAGTATTTAATTCTGTTTAATTCTGTATTTGAAGAATCATGACTTGCTGAGTCAGAGTGTGTTGGTCTTAGTCTGCAGACAGAGGCATCCTGGCATATTGTTTGCAAAGCTTAAGAAGTAAAGAGAGTAATAGCTGAAAGCAAATGTTTTCAGAACACAAAGTAATATAGTACTCCCACTTCAGATAACCTCATGTATTCATCTCTAGGCTGAATTAAATGAATTGCGGAGTACCATAATAAATCTCTTGGATCCTCCTCCAGAAGTGTCAGCGTTGATCAATAAGTTGGACTTTGCCATGTCTACCTATCTCCTTTCTGTTTACCGCCTAGAGTATATGAGGTATATATACTTTTTTCACTGATGAATTTAAAAAAAAAAAAATTAAAAACTGTGTATGTTCAAGTCAGACTTGCCAGACACTAAGATAAATGAGAATTATTAGCTCTATTGAAGATTCTGAGACTGGGAATTCATCTGTGCAAAAATGCCTTTAGAGTAGATAAAAAGGATGGAATAGTATAGTAGGACTTGAAAAATGGGATCTCCTCTGTATAGGAACTAATAGAAGATCGACAAAAGAGTTCTTCAAAAGAATGTCTTGCAAGTGTAATGTATCCTCTGCACAGAGTCTTGTGCTTGCACCTGTTGTGGTTTAGCCCCAGCCAGCAACTAAGCACCACGCAGCTGCTCGCTCGCTCCCCCTACCCCAATGGGATGGGAGAGAGAATTGGAGGAGTAAGAGTGAGAAACACTCCTGGGTTGAGATAAGAACAGTTTAATAATTGAAATAAAGTAAGATAGTAATGATAACAACAACAACAACATAATAATAATAATAATAGTAACAATAATAGTAGTAATAATAATAATAATAGTATACAAAGCAAGTGATGCACAATGCAATTGCTCACCACCCACTGACTGATACCCAGACAGTTCCCGAGCAGCGATCACCACTCCCCAGCCAACCCTCCCCAGCTTCTATACTGAGCATGATGTCATATGGTATGGAATAGCCCTTGGTCAGTTTGGATCAACTATTCTGGCTGTGCCCCCTCCCAGTTTCTTGTGCACCTGGCAGAGCATGGGAAGCTGAAAAGTCCTTGACTAGCATAAGCAGCACTTAGCAACAACTAAAACATCAGTGTGTTATCAACATTCTTCTCCTACTAAATCCAAAACACAGCACTATGCCTGCTACTAGGAAGAAAATTAACTCTATCCCAGTCGAAACCAGGACACACCTCTGAAGAGTAGTGTAGACACTTCCCTATTCTACAAGATTAGTGTAGTGTCAGAGCTGAGAAGTTTTTTTGTAGTGTACTTTTTTTTTTCCCTTCAGTAGTGTCTGCTAGGTTGTACTCATCAAACATACTGAATTCAGAGACTATTTATTTTTTTCTTTAAAAGTGTATTTATTATTGCTATTCAAAGAAGTGTGTAGCTGAAAGCTGAGGTGGAGGTCTAGCCATGAGGAAGGCAGGAAGAAAATTCTCCATTGTGTTTTTACTTTGACAATAACTGACAACAGGGACAACCATTTCCAGAAACGTCGTGGCTGTATTTTAGAAACAATTTTCTAATACGTGATATTTCCATCTAATGCAAATTCAACAGATGCAAAGCCTATAGAAACGCCAAAGATTGTACTGTGTTTATATATTTGTGGTGATTGCATAAGTGCATCATCATCATCAGGTTTCCCACTCCTGTGTGAAAGTTATTCTCTTGGTGACAAACCAGCATTTTATGATCTGAGCCCTGTTAGTTGAATGTCGAAACAAATAGCAGTATCACATTTACTAGAGACTTAACATTATCATGAAATGAACAATGAGTGTATGTGTGTGGTGTGTACTGTGGCATTAAAGTACATAGATTTGTGTTGAAGATGTTGAAAAGAAAAGAAAAGAAAAGAAAGGAAAAGAAAAAACAACCAAACCAAAACAACCTAACCCACAAAATTCTTCTTTTCCTAGGGTGTTGCGTTCAACTGACCAAGATCGCTTCCAAGTTATGTTTTGCTATTTTGAGGATAAAGCAATTCAAAAAGACAAATCTGGTAAGATTACCTGTCTAGGTTATCTTGCAACTTGAGGTAGTAGGAAGGTATCTCCAGGCATGCAAAACAAAAACAAATCAAGCAACTGTATAACAAAATTAATCATGTTCACTAGATTGCTGTTGCTTTATTCTTGTGAAGAATGCTGGTTTTGTTTTGAAACAGCTTGGTTCAGTGTTGGCTGAGTAAACAAACACTTTTTACCTGTTAAACAAGATTTATAAAGCAAATGTAATTCTGATAATCAAACCTGTCACTTTTCTCAATTCCTCAGGCATGATGCAGTGTGTGATAGCTGTTGCTGATAAGGTGTTTGAAGCTTTCCTGACAATGATGGCTGATAAAGTAAGTTACGTGGAGACTAAAATTTTAAATTTGTATAAATGTTCTCGTTTCAGTTTATGAAAATGTGCTTGTCATTTTCCTTAAGAGCTTCATACTTCTCTTTGGCATGCTTTTTAGCCTAAAACTAAGGAGAACGAAGAAGAGCTGGAGAGACATGCTCAGTTCTTGCTGGTGAATTTTAACCACATTCACAAAAGGATCAGGAGAGTTGCAGACAAATACTTATCTGGTCTGGTAGACAAGTGAGTATAGCTTTCATTTTCCTGTTACCTTTTCACACTGACTGCTTAGTGATGACTTATGCAATTGATGGTGACGGTCAAGTGGATTTTTTGGCTGGTACTTCTGCTGAAACATCTCCTTGAAAAATAACATTCAATAGTATTAACCTGTGCTCTGAAACCCCTGCTTAAAATGCCTGTGTCTGCTTAGTATTCCCATGGATGGAGCAAAGCAAAGTGCCCATGAAATAAATGCAAACTCAACTCCTATGAAATAGCTCTGCTTAGCTTGCTCTTAGAGAGCTTTTGACTCTGTATTGAGCTAGGCTGTTGTGAGCCGTGGCAAGCTTTGTGACTTCTGTTGAGTATGAGCTTACCTAGTGATGTATATAGCTAGCTCTTTGAGCAGCTCCATTTCTTGATAAAATAATTTCCTTCCTCAGCTCTCCATGGTTATTGTGTTTCTGAATCCTGACTTGTTCTAGATTTCCTCACTTGCTGTGGAGTGGAACTGTACTGAAGACTATGCTAGATATTCTGCAGACGCTGTCACTGTCTCTTAGTGCAGTAAGTTCCTTTTTTAGTAATGCTATTAGGGAAATAAAATGTAAGTTTCCATTTTTGTTTTTCCTTTTGTAGAACTGATATTTTTTTTTTGCTTTGTTTTGCATTTATTTGATACTTACTTGAGTTCTTAATTTCTCAAGTTTTTGCTTTCATCACTAAGATTGATAAAATCTTAATTTTAAGTTCTGTGAAGTAAGGAGTGCATTTGCACCCCTATTTCTTAGGTAGTAAAACTAGTGCTAGAAGTTGTTGTCAAATGTGGTTCAGGAAGTCAAATTTAGCATCAAGAATAAAACACTGGATTACCAATTCTGGGTTGTAACGGTTGAACTGTCTCATTTGAAATAAAAGTTTGGTGGTATGTTTTTGGTTTTTGGTTTTTTTATGAATTATAGTTGTCAGGTTATATTCCTTCCAGTCTGTGTATGTGTGTCCATATTCCTTGGATTTATTACATACTAGTATTTTTGAAGATGGAAATGCTTTATAGAGTTTTATTTTTGTACAAAATGTTGAGGAGAGGGCATTGGATCTTTAAAATTATTTATACTGAGAACCAAACTGGAATACGAACTGTTTCTTAGAGCTATTCAGATTGACTTTGAGAGCAAATACTAGCAAAAAGTTTTGGTATATCAGATTTCTTGTTTGGGGAGAGTGCTACCTGTAGTGTTCAAGTTAAGTGATGGTGAATTTTATCTTATTTGAGAATTGGTTTTATTTAGGACATTCACAAGGACCAACCATATTATGACATTCCTGATGCTCCATATAGAATAACTGTCCCTGACACACATGAAGCCAGAGAGGTAGGTGGTCCTCCTTGATTTATCAAACAACAAAATAATACCTGATTTTTTTTATGTCTGGGAGATAAATTAGTGAGCTACTCTAAATGGTCCTTCTTTTTAAAAATACTTTTCTAGGTAGGTTTTTTCAAATACAATATGACACTTGGTATTTACATTTTTCTGACTCTTACTGTTTTACTTGACTTGAAGTGTGATAGTTCATTGCTTACCAAGGGTTCGTTTAATTGTTAGAGAAGATTTTAACCTTACCATGTGGCTGCAACCTGTCGTACTCCCTATGTTACTTATTACACAATTAAAACCAGTGCCTCTTGTTAAATGTCCTGTATTTTACTGATTGTATTCTCTAATTCTAGAGTATAGTCAAGGATTTTGCTGCACGCTGTGGGATGATTCTGCAAGAAGCAATGAAATGGGCTCCCTCAGTTACCAAATCTCATCTGCAGGTAATGAGCCTGCTTCTGTGAAAGAATTTGATCTTTGCAGATCTTCAAAATGAGAATCAAATTATGTGATGTTTTTGATTTTTCAGGCTATCCAAGCATCATTTTAAATTTTTCCGTTGGTCTAAGATTTCCTTTATAGCATTCGCAGAGAATAATTAGAATTTTTGATTTGATGTGACTTTTGATGTAGTCCATACCTGTGTATCTTGAAAATAACAGGTTTGTAAACAGTTGATCATCCCCAATTTACTTCAGCAATCAGAATTTGGTATAATAGAATGCTCTGCCTCGCAAAGTTTGTTTTAATGCTGATGGATTAGCTGAAAATACCAGCTGGACTGAAATGTATGATTAGGGTGTAAAACTTGTTTCTCGTTTCCCTCTTTGCAGGGTGGGTTTTTTCTGTCTTTATTGTTCTTTTTTTTTTAAATATGGAGAAACACTGCTAATACATGAGAACACTGTAAACTACAGACTTTAAGTATGGGTGTAGTAAGCACTCACATGTGGCAGAGTTCAGTAGAAAGCTGTCACAAGACCACAAGCAAAGACTACAAAAGATTATGATGTACTAATAAAATAAATAAAATACCTTTTATGTAAACAAAAAGTCTCAGTATAGTAAAATGCAGGTCTCTGTTAATCCTTTGCTGACTAGTTGAAGAGTAGTCCAGGTTAGACTAGTATTCTGTTTAGAGGTGCCCAGCCTAGTGCTGGTAACAGAATTTCTGGGGAGGCTCAAGATCTTGGACACTGCGAATCTACCTGAAGTTAAAAAAACCTGAAGGAATTCTATCCTTACGTAAAAGGGTAACTAGTCATAGTCCCTTTTTCAAAGGAGTCCAAAGCATTTCCTTTTGTAAGGTTCTTTTTGTGAAAGGTGATTCTTTTTAAAGAACTCAGCCTTCAAGTATATATCTAGATCACTTTATCCTTTTACAAAACAGAACGAGTCTTACTCTATACATATTTAAGAGGACATTCAGAGTTTCTTATTGCCAAGGGAGCAATGCCTAAAAGGGATGAGTAGAGACAGTCTATTTGTTGTCAGGTGTGTGTGTAATTAAGTTTTCTGGTAGTTTGCAATTAATGCAACACTTGCTTATGAGCTGCCTTGTTTTGAAAAACACAGTAGTTTTCCAACAAACACTTTTTTTTGTTTGTGTTTGGGTTTTTTTGTTTTTGTTTTTCCTGTCAGGAGTACCTAAACAAACATCAGAACTGGGTATCAGGTTTGTCCCAGCACACAGGGCTGGCTATGGCTACAGAAAGCGTTTTGCACTTCGCAGGCTACAACAGACAGAACACCACACTGGGCGTGAGTATTGGACAGAATTCTTGTTTGTTTGTTTGTGCAGCTGTATAGCTATCATGTTAATTTTGTAACATTCAGTATAGCCACATAATACAGGTTTTCTAAATCACATTTGTCATAGCACTTAAATATTACTCAGAAGGATACCTTATTTCTTTCCATATCAAATCAAAGTATCTTTCAATCATGTTGTTATGTAAAATACTGAGAAGTAAGATGGTAACAAGCAAGAAAACTATATCTAGTGCTGTTTAAGAGTTTTCTGTAGATGATTTTTAATGATTTGAAAGTAGTATCTTTGTGTAAGGCTGAAATGAGCTGCTTTCTAGAATAGTAACGTAGGTGAGTGTCGGGTGACAACCATTTGCTCTGAGTTTTACATAGGTTCACTCAAAACATGCTTTTGTGTTGAACATTTCATGCAATTATAAGCAATTTTTTATAGTTCATTTTTTCTCATTTGTGGTTGTAACTTCTGATCTCCTGGAGAAACATCCAGTAGAATCTCTTGTATCATCAGCCAGCTTGTTTTCTAGCAGCAGCTCTGAAACTGCCTCCATGCCCAGCTTTAGCAGGATTTCCTTTTGGTTCTCTGTTACCGTAGTCCTTCTAGACAGTGCTAGTCACTAAATGTAAATAGGCTGAAAAACTCCCAGGACTCAGGAGTGCAGTCATGTAGTTCCCTAAAGGGGCTAGGTGAAAAAACTTGATAGAATAAAGACTATGCTGGAAGAACCTAGAAACTTTATAGCTGGAAAAGAAATAGAGAAACAACTTTCTCATTTTCTGTTTGATTGGGGCCCTCCTGCATGTCAACCAAGCGACAAAAGCTCTTTCAGAAAGCTTTCGGATTGCTACCAGTTTGTTCTTCCTCTTGCTTTATTCCCATGGACTGGACATTGCTAATGCAAAGGTGATAGTACACAAATTTTATATCCAAGACATGTAATAAGAATAGTTCTCAGAAGCTTATCCATTGCTGAGCCAAGCTAGCCATTAGCAATACTGAAGTAAAGCATTGCAGTAATGCTGAATTTTTGGTGGTTTTCCTGACCTTGTATTTTAGTATTAAATCCTCAATACAAAAAATTCATTTTGCAGTATAAAGAATCATTCTCTTTTGTTTGTTTTTGAGGTGAAACTTCTGAGTCACAAATTCCTGAATACTTCTGCAAAGGGAAACATGGGTTACTAGTGTACTTTTTAAAGACAGGAATAAAATACTCTCTCTGCATTACTGTCAGTTCAGCAAGCTGTTGCATGGAGAGGGCAGAACCAAGACCACATCTGCTCTTCTGCTTTCTTCCTTACTGTCATGGTTTAACCCCAGTCGGCAGCTAAGCAAGAC